GTTTTTGGCCTTTGCCATTTATTGTAAAAGTTACCTTTATGTACACTTTATTTCAAAACTGAAATTTCAATGATAAATTGTCTCGCTACACAATTTAACGTACGTTAGCCTTTCACAGTCTTTAACAATGGGGTTTGTTTGTTCATATGTAAGAGTTCACATCAAAACATTTAGTAGAAATTGTCAGTCTTATACTCAGTTACTTGTATTCCTTCTGTATTTCACTTTAAACAACAAAATTATCAGAAGAAAGACTTTCAGTAAAATTAACTTCATCCTCCAAAAGCCCAGGCCTACACTTACGCCACTGCTATGGACTAATCATATAGTCCCACCATGAGAGACAGAGTTTGATGCCTCACTTCCATTTGAGCCTTCAAAAACCCCAGGATGTACACCTTAAAGATTATTTCACTTGGCTATCCAGAAAATATTACGGATCCAATCTTACTAATGCTACTCAGGTAAGTAAATTTCAGCACATGAATAATTCCATTGATTTCAATGGGATTGCTCATAAACTAAGTTACTCACCTGCATAAGAATTTGCAGGTTCAGGGATTAAAATAATATTTTAAATATAATGTTTTGGAAATGCCAGTACATTAGTTTGTAAAAAGCTTAGTCTATAAAACAGATATTTTTTCTTGTAGAATGGTAACAGAAAATATGAGATCTAAAATGCTCACTGGTCTAACTAGCAGCGTTAGTTTTCAGATGTCTAAAATAAATGTGGGTTATATAAATAACATTATGTATGATCCAATAGTACACCCTTGGACTGTTTCATATGTTGGTGGATATTACATCCATCAGATTTTTTTTCACAACTCCATTCATTAAAAACAATTTTCTCCTCAGTAAAAGTGTAATAAGCATACAGTTTGTCTTTTAAAATACAGCTCCAGAAAGCTGGGTAGAGGGCTCAGCCAAAGAGTTTAAAAAAAAAAAAAAAGTTTTGCAGCATGGAACTGTGTTTTCAGACTGCCAATCAGAGAAAAGCTGTTTTAAGCCACACATCCCCTTCAAAATTTCTCCTCGGGCTGATTTCTTTTGAGTCAGCCTGGGAAAAAGCCACTCCCTATGTTAGAAAATTGAGAGAGACACTGAGCATGCTCTAATGCAGAGATCAAAACAGAAGCCTGTTCTTCATAATTGCCCTTTTACTGTACCTCCCAGACTGTGTAGTTTGGAATTTGCCCTCTGGAAACTGTACTATTCCTCCCATTCCTGATGTGAAGAAAAGAATCACTGAGATCCATCCATTCCTGTGTTCTCCCAGAAACCAGAAAAGTAATGAAGAGAAATGCCCCACCCCTACCACGCAGAAACAGACAGAAGAGAGACAAGAAAAGGGGACATTTCAGAAACTGGGGAGGTGAGTTGAAAAAGCCCACTCCCTTTTGCATAGTGGTGGAGGAGAAGGAGGGAGAAGAAGAAGAAGAGCTACATTGTCTGTAATGGAGTTGTAAAGATGGAGTATCTTGAATTGATGCAAATTCAACACAGACATCTCAGGTCAGGTCAGAGCATTGTGGAATGATCATACAGGTCTCTGCAAAGCAATTCTATGAAGTAAGTTCTTAAAAGTTGAGTACCACTGCTCTAGTACCTCAACCAATTAGTCATCTTCAGGTTTACTACCTAAATCCACTGGGATTGACGCAAGGGCTCTTTTCCTGCCTGATCTTCATCAAGACTTTGTCTTTCTTTAAGGAGGCAAATGAAGATTTGTGCTGGCTTAACTAGAGAATGTAGTATTTAACTGAGCCCTGCATATCTGGCTGTTTTTTCTTTCCTCTGTAGAAAATCATCTACTTTGTGTCTGGGAGGTCATATAACCTTCTCAAAGTTGCAAATAAACTACACTCCTTGGGACCCCTATGTGCTGTGCCCTACCCTATGAGAACTGAAAGTGTCATCTCAATGCCCATCTCTTCAACATTTTTATTTCCAGGTGACTCCCAGAGGTCCTTCCTGGAAACACAAGGTGCTCGCTACCTACCAAGTCACCAGGCCACACAATTTACAACTTAGGTTAAAAACAATAAGACTAACTTCATTCCTTATAGCTGATTCAACTTTTAAGATTTCCTCAGGAGACTGCATGTCTGCTCTCTGATAAGAAGACATGAGCAAACTGTTACCCCTGAACCTGACTGGTCACAGTAAAACTCCTGAATTTAAAATCCAAGATCCTGAGACCACTTCATGCTCTGCTTCAAAAGCACTTTTTAGACTTTTATTTAGTTTATTTGATAATATCTGAGCACTAGTTGGTGTGCTATCCTTTCCATGATTAGCAATAGCAATATTATTCTCAGGAGCATATACTAGTGCTGTATAGATTTATATCAATATTGTTGGACATATAAACAACCCTTTTACATAAACATCAACATTCTGAATAAAAGATAAATCTTAAAAGATAAATGGACAAAGAACTTTAAAAAAATCTTGGCAATACTCAATTACAAAGTGGTTCTGGATTTGAAACATTTGCGACCCTCCTTTTTCATCGGACACACACACTGTAACAAAATATTTATGAAATGTTATTGATTTCTATTGAAGATTTCACATGGAAATAAAAGCAATTCTTGATCTCAGGGCAAACGAGTCACAAATAATGTCAATATATGCAAATTTGATGTTTTCTATCACCTCTCCAGAACTCTTTAAGAAATATTTAAAAGTCTCTCTCTAAATATATCTCTCAAAGTTTCCAGATGCAGTTTCACTCTCTTAATTCAGAGTCTCAACAATTTACTACTGAATGGAAAGCAGAGCCTAGTATTTGCTAGATGGGTGTTTGAATGACAGTTAACAAGAAGTAACAGAGTCAAGGTTGTTGCCCACTAGGAGAAAGCAGAGTCAACCTTATAAGACAACTGATGCATTTATACTTTCATTTAATAGAACAATATCTGAAACATTCAACTACAAACCAAACATAAGAAAATGTGCAAGTAAAGTAGAAAGTACCTCTAATCAGTTTTCCTCTCACCAGTCACAACAGCACTTGTTCCTAATTATTTTATCTTGCATACGATACAGTACATACCCTTTTTAATATTGTATCTTTGTGAACTTTGACTATTTTATTCTGTGTGATCTAACACTAACAACAGCGGCAAAGAAAACACTTTCTCCTCTTTAAGATGCTCTATTGGTTAGTTCAGATTTATTTGTTGTCAGTGAAGGTTATATTTGCACATAAGCCTATGACAGATTGCAAGTTTTTTAACTTTGAGCAAGTTTTCAAGCTGCTGGTATTTTTTCTTAAGATGTAGGTTACTTGACAAATTGGAGTTAAGTTATCTGGGGTCAATGTAACTGTAAGTTAAACTAATGAAGTGTATGCCTGTGAATGATGTCTGATTAGTTTAATACAGCTAGAGCTGGACAGCTTGGGCTGCTGACCTTGAAGGAGCATAGATAACATTGTGATGCGTTGGAGGATGTGGTTGTGATGCAGAAGAAATTTACATAACAGTTTGTCATATATACTCCTCCAAAATAAAATTGTTGCAAAGGAAGAGTAATGCAAAATCCATACTCAAATGCCTCAAGCAAGACAGAGGAAAAAATAGTTACAATAATTTGGTAGCAGTTTATTAGAAATGAAAGCAAGCAGCAAGCCCAGTAAAGGTGTATTTTCTGCACTCGCATTTTATATATTCAAACTGTTCATAAACTGTGTAAGATTAAATATTATGTTCCACAATTTGTGATGGATTCAGATTTAATGTTACATGACCTTATGCAGCACAGGATATATGCTGCAAAAATCATTTTCTTCTCCATCTGTGTGTACTATCTTTACCTGGTATCATCGGAAGTTGCAAACATTAGCCCCAGTTCTCAGCTGGGATCTGCTAGCATATACCTCTGCACTCAGGCAGAGGCCCACTGAAGTCAGTCGTATGCAGTGTAGGTGCACAGGTCCATGCTATCAGATACCAACGCAGCAGGAGGGCTTTGGTGTAAGTAAATTAAGTGTTGACAGTAAAAAAAACCCAGTTCACTGCTGAATCAGTGATGTTCTCTTGTTTGCAGTCACTGAAATGTACACATCACCATTTGGTGCATTACTATTTAATAGAATTATCCAACAGCATCTTAACTGATTGGGGGAAAAGCGGGGAGGAAGGAGGAATGAATGGCTGGTTTCAAGACCATCAAGTTCATAAGTGACTAGAAGTTTTCACTATATGATGGCCACTTGGTGGTCTGTGTGTATTTAGTTTGATGGTCTCAGTTCAGGTTCTAGTTGCTAGGTGTCCACACAGGGCTTAAATTCTCATAGAGTATTTCCCAGAGCCCTCCACGTTCCCATGCCAACATGCTATGAAACCTCCAGGGGAGTTGAAAATATTTACTGGCGCTCCGCTCCAGACAGCTCTGGCTGAATTTAAGCCCTGTGTCTACATAATAAAACAAACAGAATTTGACATCCTTATATGTGGTCACATTACAGAGCTCAAGGTCTGAACAGTCACTAGACTGAACTACCCTCTCATTCCTTTAGGTCACACATCCATACAGCATTCAGGTTACTCCACAGATAACTTGGTATGACACTGTGGATAAGCTTGCACTGCCAGTGTCTATGTATTACTCTGCCTAATCTGTGGAAAAATAGGACTTCAGCCTCAAAAGCTGTAAGTCCTATCCCTTTCACCAACTCTAAACTCATCGGAGAATTCAAAAGAAACACACCCACAGGCAGCAATTTAGCACAATTTAAGATGGAGACTTTGCAGTATTAGAGATACAGACCCAATATTTTTCTAGGGGCCTCTAAAAGGATGTCTGCAACTTTCCACAAACACAACCCATCATGCAAAACAAGAAGGTCAATATCTCACCTCAGTACCCATTTGCAAGTACATATGATTTTGTATGGAAAAAACCAGAAAGCTCAGTTTTAGAGACCTGGTTGAAGATCCTTTCATATTTTGACCTGTAAGATTATTTGTTACAAGTACTATCTTTACCTGTAATTAGCATTAGCTGGCACTGTTTGCATGAAATATAGAGCAGCAGTCCGTGCTCTCCAGTGCCACTTCTTTGCTGGGAGTGTATAAAGGACACATTCTTCTATCTCCTCCTGTAGAAGATCTGCCAGCTGCTTGTGGGAACCACCATAAAAAGCTTCAATTAGAAGAATACGCATACTTGTACGTTTTTCAAATCTTCTTGGATTCTAAAACTGACAAAAACAAACAAAGAAACATTTTATTCCCAAAGTCTATTCTTTAGCGAGTTAGACATAGATCATGAAAAAAACTCATATTAACAGACCTCTTATAAATGGATTCATTTTTATAAGAATTTAATATCTTTGTTTCATGCTAGTAGATTTATTTTTAAAAAAAGACAAATTAACAATTAGTTTGATAAAAAAGGAAGGTGTCCATTAATCACAACAACATTCCATTAAAAATAGCTATTTAGAATTTAACTAATAACTAAAATATAATCAATCTGTAAATGCTTAGATTTTGAATTTTAGTTACTGGCTTTTTAAATAGGATGTATTTGAAAACTGTTTATTTTGCAAAAGTTTTTTTTTTTAAATATATTTTCCTGTTCTGGAATTGAGGGTTGTGTCCATACAATTTTACCTTCTGAATGGTAGTACATAAAACTAAAAAGTATTTCAAACATATTTCAGCCAAATTTGTTTCATAGTAAAGGCAATCTGGCAAAACGACTAAAAAGAAACATGATTGGGGGCAGCTTGGGGTACCCAATTTGAGTGTACCTCCAGGACTCTGTTCCTTAGGTTACTGAAGGCTGGGATCATCACTAAAATGACATTTGCAGACCCTAGAGGAGATGCAAACTGCATTACTCTTGAATACTCCAAAATGGCTGAAACAGAACAATACTGTAGTCTTAAGGAAGCTATCACACTTTCACCCACAGGGCTGCTGACACACAGGAAGCAAAACACATGGCCCAAAATTAAGGGAAAGGTGAAAACCCTGTGACTATTGCTCATCTGTTTCATGAGTCACGTTTTGGGGTGGTGAAAAGCTGCTCTGTAGAAGCTTAGGGATACTCCACTGAACAAAAATGTTAAAAACAAAACCATGATTAGGTATTTACCAGCAGTGTCTGCTGCTCTGATAACTTCCACTTCAGAACATACTATCAGGGGCTGAGTAACACGGGGTATGATTACTTTATTTGTTTGTGTTTCAGACCAATGTTATATATTGTATGACTATACTGAGCACCCAATCCCTGACCCACAGTTTCCAGTAGTCGCTGGTTGTGTCCCTAATCTTTTCAGCAACTTTGCTGGGGAGGGATGAGGGGGTTCATAAATTACAACCCTTTACCAAAATCTAAATGATAGTTCTAGTAATTAAACATAAACTGGAGTTAATGTTTAAAGTACCTACAGTAATCAAGAGTAAAAATACTTTACAAGAACGTTGCAGCTATCAAAAAACAAGCTAATGAGAAAATCCTGAAATTCAGAGAGTTAAAAGATGAAATTTAAAAGAAACCTTTTGGTCAGTACTGAATCAATGGCCCAGCATGGTCTTGGAGGCTTACGGTGCTGCTGGAGTTGCCATTTTGCAGATGAAACATAAAGCTAGATTATTCACCTTTGCTAAAGAACAAAGTGTTAGGAAATAAATATTTTCACACAGGAAAGGGCAAAAAACAAATGAAAAGGATTGGAGGGAAGCATTTTGCAAATTTAACTCAGAAGGAAAGAGGGTACATGAAATGTCTGATAAATTCCACTACGTCACTCATTAAAAAGAGTCGAGGTTAATGTTAATTTACAGGCTACTCGAGGTAGTATAGTAGTTTGTTCATAAAACATCTGATCAAATTTCCACATCAGACTAGTTATGAAACCATTTTGTCACCTAGTTTAGCTGAATCAACAATGTTCCCTTTGGTTTTATTTAGAATACTTTGCAACCATTTTCTTTATTTATGTTCCTTTCTGTGATAGATAAAGAATAAGGCAAAAATTGTTTCAGTTCTCAGGTTTCCTTCTGGTCTAAGATTACTGACAATTAGATTATTCTATACTTGTCTTACTACCTTTAGACTTTTTCATAAAACAAAATGCTATGCAAATATTAAAATAAACCCTTTTAGTGTGCTTCTGACTGAAAATCTCAATTCAAACGTCGATTCTGCCTTAATTGTCTGCTGGGTAGCTGAGGCTATTTGATTCTTGATACTCTGTGTACCTGGTGTGTGTAGATCCCACTTTGTAAGGATTCAGAAGCAAGGATGAAAAATCAAAAAGAGCAGTCAATTTTTGAAAGATGATATGATACATAAAGGGTTTTTGCACAAACTGCCTAGAATGGGGAAAACCCCACGACAAATCAAGAAAGCATCAAAGGATCACTCACCAACATTTGTAGAATTCTGCTTTCATGTGCTTTACGTACTTTACAGTTACATATATTAAACACAGATTCATAACAAAACAATCTAGAAACCTATACTTGGTGTTTTTTAAAGGTGCTACTAAAACAGAAAATATTAAATAAAAAGAGACAGACAATGCAATTAGCCCCTTCAGTGAAAAATTATATAATTTAGGAATGATGGAAAACCCAGCCAAGTAATCTTATGTTTTAAAAATATATGATGATAATGTACTGTAAATCACATTATTTTAAAAATAACTTGTAATTTTTTGTAAATTTAAAAAGCCACAATGGACGTCAGATGAAGACATTTACCTCATATTTTGCATACAAGGTTTCCAGTTTTGTTCACACATCACAGTAACATCTATTATTCTTGCTTTATTTCCCCTGACCTAGCCAAGTTAAGGTAAATATATACTATGTACTCCTTAGGTCTTGAAAAGCCACTGATGATAAATGGTCTGAAAACATTTACCCTATCTGATGGAATGCAATCCTCAATTAAATATAAATCATTCCAGGTATTCTTTTACCCATTTCAAAGAAAACAACAAATATTAGAAAAATATATCTGCTTCCCCATTCTCATTACAGTGCTTCCTCTCTCAAGGGTGGCTCTTTGGAGCCAATAATTCTGCAAGTTACACTAATGGCTTGATTCTATTCTCAGGAGTGCCGTGCTGTGTAGCTTGAAAAATTTGCCTCACTACATGTACCATATGCAGATCCGGTAGCAGATTCTTCAGGATACATATTAATAAAAGTCTACCTACTTGCAATAAGAATTAAGTCCCAAGTGAGTGTTACATAAGCAATAACATGACTAGTGTGCAGTCATACTGGTTACTCACACACCTTAGGTGTGTTGCGAGACATTTCTCCCCATTATTTCAACTCCCACCTCAAAAATACTGTCTCATAATAACGCTCCATATGGATACAAGTCATGACTCAAGTGTCAGCAAGAGGGTGAGCATGTTAAAGAAGACTAAGTAAGGGGTCAGATACTGCCCATGCTAAATTCCTAAACGGGCAGCTAAGGATTCACCCTAAATCACTGGCTGACTTACAAGACCATGCTGCTAACGCCACACTCTCCCATTTACAATCCACCTCCAGCATGGTGCGGGGAGGAATAAGGGGATATGGCTGGAGCACACAATGCCCTTATGATCCCCAACTGACATAACAGTCTTTTAGGGCCCTTTCAAACCAGTGTAATTTAGAGCAGCCCTGATGCTACTGTAAATTATCCTGGGGGCCAAATCAGCACCTGGACAGGCCCAGAATCTGGGGTCAGAGGTAAAAAGATTTTATAAGTCACCAAGTGCTGGTATGTAAACCTGAGGACTCAGCTTTAAGTGTATCTTTCCATATATGAAATAAATGTGTTCTCTCAGCAATGACTGCAAACTTTGGGGAACAAGTACCCAGCTAGGGATCTGAACTCAGATTCCTGTGTGAGAGCACAATTAACTGCCATTAAAAACATTTGACTGCTTAGTCTGTCACGTTAAATTATCAGAACAATTGTTCACATTTTATTAAATGGAACGTGTTTGGAACTGTAATCTTCTAAGGCCTGTTCAGATCCTTATAGTTAGCTATTTTGGGTTATTTTGAATTTTGTACAATTTCAAATATGGACCAACTAATCCAATGATAACTCACATTAACCCAGTGGTACACAAGATAACTGATAAGTCTCCTGGTTTCCATAAAAAATTCTGAGAACTATGAAGAACTAGAATATAAATATGTGTTTGAAAAAAACAACATGGAAGAACATATAAGCAAGAAAGTTTACACTCTTCAACCAGTTACAGAAGCAGTAACTTTATACACTTTTTGAACTCTAAGTAAACAGTTACTACAGTTACTATTTTTTAAACCGAGGTAGGTACAGGAAACTTGTAATTTACCAGTGATTTATTAAGGAAGATATTTATTCTGTCATTTATACATAATTGTGGTTTCACAAATGTCAGCATAGCTCACAGAAGAAAGACATAATTAGCCCTCTTCATTGACGTATTCAGGCAATATACATTACAGATCATGCTTAAATATCTGTCCAACAAAATATTTTAGCAATAACCCGAAACCAAAGGAATAACTGTTAATATATTCCATAGGTACACAATTGCTATTAGTTATAGGAAATAAGGTATATGGTTTCAGTAATGATTGTCTCAACGATTATAATCCCACACGTATGAGAAATTTATTCCATCACTGTATCCACAGCACACATGGTTCAACATCTTAAAAGTCAACTGACTACAAAAGATATAAGGTATGTAGTGTGCATTTATATATATTTACAGTCTTTGATGGTTTGAGATAAACACTGTAAGACTTAATATAGGAAAAGACTTTAAATGCTCCACATTTTAGTAGAATGGGGTTTCCCAGATCGTTATTATAGAGGCTTTACCTTGATTCTTGTCTCCCTCCACCCTTTCTTCCAACCCCGCAACATACACACTTTAAAAGTAAGTGTTAATGCAGCATACTGAAAAAAACAATACTGAGAGAGTTTGCATTACTCACCCACTCATCTCAGTGATTCATCAGGGAAACCCCAGTAGAGATATACCTTAAAATACTACAATCATATTTTAATATCTTAACTTATATTTAAATCAGCCAAAAAGTATAGAGTGAAAAATTTCCTGTTGATCAAGTGTATACACATACAAAAGTAAGCATGCTATTGATTTATGTAGAGGAAACCAAATAAGACACAGGAATGCATTTTATTTTGAGAAACGGAAAAATTGATGATTCAGCT